TCCGGCACCTCCCCCGTTCTCCAGGATCTTTCAAAGATGATGGAGAGCGGCTTAGCTATGGCATCTGCCAGCTCACGCAGCACTCTGGGGTGCATCCCATCAGGGCCCATGGATTTGTGGGTATCGAGTTTCCTTAGGTGCTCTCTGACCCAATCTTCCTCTACCCAGGGCGAGTCTTCCTCTCTCCAGGCTTCTTCTCTTGTCCCTAGGGCCTGGGGCTCTAACGGGCTGCCCTTGGTACACTCCGAAGCAAAGGCGGCATTCAGCATCTCTGCTTTTTCTGTGTTATTCGTAACCAGGGTGCCCATCCCATTCACCAGCGGACCCACGTTTTCCCTGATCTTCCTTTTGCTGTTCATATATTTGAAGAAGTTTTTCTTGTTATTTTTAACGTCTCCTGCCAGATTGCATTCCAAACACGCCTTAGCTTTCCTTGTCGCATCTCTGCATTCCCTGACTACGTTCCTGTATTTCTCCCAGGGGGCCTGTCCTTTTTTCCACGTTCTATATACCGCCGCCTTCTGCTTGAGCATTGCCACAAGCTCCTTGCTCATCCACGCAGGTCTCCTGCCCCCTCTGCCTGACTTCTTACACACAGGGATGCACTGTTGCTGGGCGTGGAGGAAGTGCCGCTTGAAAACTAACCAGCTCTCTTGGGCCCCCCTTCCTTCTAGAGCTCTAGCACTAAGGGATCTTAAAATAATTGCTTCACATAAGTAGTTTATATATATATATATTTTAGATTTTTATACATAAGGTTTAACTGTTCCTTCATGTTCAAGACTGGAAGCAGGAAGTATGTGGTATTCAGAGGGCTAGTGCTATTCCTACATAACACAGTAGCAATCTGCTCTGTGCAAGTACAGATACAGACAGAACTTGAAGAAGCTTTAAAGGAAGGAATAAAGAGAACAGATTTACCTAATAAAGTTATCTATATCCATTGAACGGGCACGTTTTTCAGAGTAACCTGTATTTTTTAAGACTGTCTGTATTTTCTCTGCAATTTTGAAATTTTCTGGTATTTCCTGTCAATAGCAGATAAGATATAAGTTAGCTTTTCATTCATAGCATATACGAAGGTTAAAATTAGTTTAAATTTTCTATTCTTTTCCTGTTTTTCAAAGAGTTTTTGTTTCAAGTTTCAAGATAATTTAATTAAGTTTCTCTCTCCTCTCCCCTGCCCTGTTCCACCCTCCACGGACCTTTCTGAATTAATACATACTTTTGTCTGGACTTTACACCTCAACTAATTCACTGCAAAATAATCACCAACCGTATGGCCAAACAATATACCAACAATATATATATATATATTTCCCCTCACAACATTTTAGAATAACTAGATTTTTCTTTGAAGAACAGTTAGGTTCCTCTCTGCCTGACAGTCTTTTAGAAAGGATTTAGCATTTAAAAAAATATATACATATATATATATATAATATATATTTGTGCTTAGGTCACACTGCACAAGAAAACAATTTAGTTCATTAAAAAGGCACTTACTGTATTATTTAAGGAACAATGAATTTGGTAATTATGATCCAACAACTGCTCTACAGCACTTGATCTGAAAGAAATACAAGTCAGTCAAATGCAAAACTGATTTTTAACTGGTTCTTTTGACTTGAGTGATTGTTAGTCTTTACTATAAAAAGAAATTGCATTGAATACACAGAGCTGTTTGAAACAGCTGCCTCAAAGAGATTTTTTTCTAAAGGTTTCACTTGAGGAGAGTTTCTAACATTAGCATAAATTCTCCATTATTATTTATCTCAGACTGTTCCAGCATCTACATTACAAGCTTCTATGATCAGAACTAATTTCATACCAGTGTAACGTTAGCAGGCATTTGCAAGAAAGAAGTGGTTAGCTGGACAGACTCGGAAATTTTGAAAAGCTGCTCTCTAATAGAATTTACTTACTTGAATGCTGCAGAGAGTGTCTTGTTTTTCCTAACGAAGGCTATCCTTACCAGACCATCCCATTCCTTAAATTCAAAAGCATACACTATTTACTAAAAGGAATACACAGCTGCAACAAAAAGCTCAGAATAAACACGACTGTCAATTTCACAACAATAATACAAATAAAATGATATTTTTCGGAAAAATATCCTTCTAACCAATAAGAAGGCAGTGCTGCCTTGTATTTTCTCCTCTACTTCCCTTTGCACATTATCCACAAAGAGTAAGAAATGAAAAGTAACTACTGCTCCTGTTACTGGATGGATATGGTGAACATATGACGCTCACCTGAAAGTTGATAGGTGGTGGTGGGTTCTTTGGCTCTATCCTGACAACACTGGATTCAACTTTAGGAGGGGGCCTGAAGTTGTTCTTTCCAACCTGATAACTCAGGAGAAGTTAGGCAGTTGTATAAGTTAGCAGCAAATTCTCACATTCTTAAAATCAACTTCTTTTCCTTTTGATAACTGGTAGCTAACATAGAACAACGAACCTTCATCAGATGATCCACACGAGCTAATAACTGAGTATTAATAGAGAGTCTGCAGTAGAGTTTAGTCCCCGGTTTTGCAACCAAACGAAGTGCAAATTCTCTTTGAAACATAAGTATCGCACACCTAAGAATGACAGAAAAGAGCAATTCAAAATCTTCTCAGCTTTTAAGGCTAAAGTCAACTAAACACAGATTTCCCCTCAACGAATAAAAGCAATGAAAGTCTGACATACAGACACACTCTGTCTTAATCACCTCGGTATTATTAGTAAAATTAGCAGTTCAGTGAGAGAAATCAAGAACTGCTAACATACTGAAGTACGCATACAAGTACCTCACCAATTATATTTTTAATAGATTAGACAATATGAACTCTTATAGCTTCAAATTTACCCTTACTTCCTAAGGTAGGAAGGCATCTGAAATGCTAGAGGCCCTGTTTATCCATGGAATAACAGTTACAATAATAGTATGAACAGGTGCAAATACTATTTTAATCAACTAGACAATTCACTAATGCCAAGACAAAATTCTTTAACACTTCAATAAACTGCTTTCCAAGTGTTGGCAACTCACATACTAGATTTGGGATTATTTGTAAAGTTAATCTTTTCCATTAGAAAGGCCAGGGATCTATTTTCCACATACCTGAAGAAAGGTCTGTGAAGCAACAACTTGAAAACAAAGGGTGAAGAAATCTGAGAAAAAGAATAAGATCATTACTATGCCTTCTGAGCAGTTATCATAAAAAAAAAAAAAACCCACACACAACAACACACCCCGCCATGCTCAGATTGTTTTGTCCGTACCTGATAAGGCAAGTTAGCTACACACGCTAAAGAACGGTAAATCCATTTTCAACACATCTCCAACCTTGATTTCCAGTTTGTTTGCCAGACACCTGTGGGGAAAATACATGGTGGTTTTCTGCTGATGGGCGGGTTGCCGAGGTTATCGTCAAGGCAGCTCCACTGCTTTACACACTCGCTCTCCATTTCCCCTTTTGGTACTTACGTGCCCTGCACTCTCTTTTGAAGTTCGCCCACAAGTCTAGGGTCAATTTCACAGGCTATAACCTGAAAGCCAAGTATAAATTTGCAATTTTCTACACAAATGGCTTCTAACGGGATGAGGACTTCAATTGCAAGAAACTGTAGATAAGTAGTGCTAGAGAATTAAATAATTCTTACGTACCTCCTGTTAGGTTGTGCACTTTCTCCTAACACAAAGGATATAAGGCTTATTATATAGATAAGTAATAGCAATACAATTTGGCAAAGTCATACGTTATTTACATGAACATGGTCAGAAATTCCTTGGAAGTTTTACAGAAAAAAAAAAAAACAAAAAAAAAAAAAACACACATACAGTGATTCTGCTTCTTTAATTCAGGTCACAGAAGAGCCTCCTGTTTGCTGATACTCTAGGCCACAGTGTTGTTTTCGATACGTCAAGGGGAAGGTGAGTGAGGGAGAGAGGGGATATCACACTTACTTTTTTTACTTTCTCTAACATTTTCACTGTCAGGTTACCAGTTCCAGGGCCTACTTCCAGAATGACATCCGTACGCCATAAGGCAGCCTAGGAACAAGTGGCATTTTACTATTTTTTCCAGAGCTGATTCCAAGCAATCATTTAATTTTAAAATGAAACATACATGCAGTTCAATGAAAGGCTTCATTCAGCTAACAGCGGCGTGAAAGTGTCACTTAGAGGAGGAAGCAACGGAAATACCATAAACATTAATGTTCTGGGCTGAACACTGAGATCTTCCAAAGCAAGTGTGTGATCCCACATAGTGATTTTTTAACATGAGGGAAAGTGTTTTAAAGGCGAGGTCCAGAGCCCCACTACTGCTCCCGGGCAGCTGCCACCCACCTTCTCGATGATGCTGTTGACAACGAGGGGTTCTTCAGGATGTGCTGCCCGGCTCCAGTGTTGAAGAGAAGCCCTAGCGGGGCACAAGCAGAACAGCTCCGTGTCACACAGCAGAAACTCGCCGCGCGCAACTTCGACCGGGCCTAGA